GTGTCCCCAAGCCAAGGGCGGCCCCGTGTCCCCGCTGGGGCACTGGACAGTGTCCCCAGTTGTGTCCCCAAGCCAAGGGCGGCCCCGTGTCCCCGCTGGGGCACTGGACAGTGTCCCCAGTTGTGTCCCCAAGCCAAGGGCGGCCCCGTGTCCCCGCTGGGGCACTGGACAGTGTCCCCAGTTGTGTCCCCAAGCCAAGGGCGGCCCCGTGTCCCCGCTGGGGCACTGGACAGTGTCCCCAGTTGTGTCCCCAAGCCAAGGGCGGCCCCGTGTCCCCGCTGGGGCACTGGACAGTGTCCCCAGTTGTGTCCCCAAGCCAAGGGCAGCCCCGTGTCCCTGCTGGGGCAGAGAAGTGTCCCCGAGTGTGTCCCCAAGCCAAGAGCACCCCTACGTCCCTCTCGGGGCACTGTACGGTGTCCCCAGCTGTGCCCCGATCGTGTCCTCAAGCCGAGGGCTGTCCCATGTCCCTGCTGGGGCAGGGGACAGTGTCCCTGAACACGTCCCCAAGCCAAGAGCACCCTGACCCCCCCCCCCTCCATCAGGGCACTGCACAGTGTCCCCAACGGTCCCCTGAGCACACCCCCAAGCTGAGAACACCCCCATGTCCCTGCCTGAGTGCTAGGCAGCGTCCCCAACTGTGCCCCGATTGTGTCCCCAAGCCAAGGGCTGTCCCATGTCCCCGCTGGGGCAGGGGACAGTGTCCCCAAGCGCCATGTCCCTACCTGAGTGCTAGGCAGCGTCCCCAACTGTGCCCCGATTGTGTCCCCAAGCCAAGGGCTGTCCCATGTCCCCGCTGGGGCAGGGGACAGTGTCCCCAAGCGTGTCACCAAACCAAGGGCACCCCTATGTCCCCGCTGGGGTGGGGGACAGTGTCCTCATCGTGTCCCCAAGCCAAGGGCACCCCTATGTCCCTGCTGGGGCGGGGAACAGTGTCCCCAAGCATGTCACCAAACCAAGGGCACCCCTATGTCCCCACTGGGGTGGGGGACAGTGTCCCCAAACCAAGGGCACCCCTATGTCCCTGCTGGGGTGGGGGACAGTGTCCTCATCGTGTCCCCAAGCCAAGGGCACCCCTATGTCCCTGCTGGGGTGGGGGACAGTGTCCTCATCGTGTCCCCAAGCCAAGGGCACCCCTATGTCCCTGCTGGGGTGGGGGACAGTGTCCTCATCGTGTCCCCAAGCCAAGGGCACCCCTATGTCCCTGCTGGGGTGGGGGACAGTGTCCCCAAGCATGTCCCCAAACCAAGGGCACCCCTATGTCCCTGCTGGGGTGGGGGACAGTGTCCCCAAGCATGTCACCAAACCAAGGGCACCCGTATGTCCCCGCTGGGGTGGGGGACAGTGTCCTCATCGTGTCCCCAAGCCAAGGGCACCCCTATGTCCCTGCTGGGGTGGGGGACAGTGTCCCCAAGGAT